CAGGTTTTTGCAAAATCAGCCCTGGGCTATCCCACGCTCCATCCACAGGAAAGTCTTCAGTTATGTAGTGGCAACGCGCCCCTCCACCCATCCACACTTTTTAGAAGAAGAAGAAGAAGAGATTGAATTTATACCCCGCCCTTCACTTAGACTCTCAGAGCGGCTTACAAACTCCTTTCCCTTCCCCTCCCCACAACAGACACCCTGTGAGGTGGGTGAGGCTGAGAGAGCTCTGACACAAACTGCTCTTTTTCAAGGACAGCTGTGCCAGAGCTTGTGACTGACCCAAGGTCACATCAACAGGTGCAAGTGGAGGAGTGGGGAATCAAACCAGGTTCTCCCAGATTAGAGTCCACGTACTTAACCACTACACCAAACTGGCTCTGGCAGCTGGCAACAAAAGTGAATACAGAAAAAAGGAACAATCCTCCATATCATTAAACCTCCATAAATACTCAGAGACACTGAATAGAATGCTTACAAATTATTTACATCATCAGCAACAACAAACATAGAAAAGGATCTCCATGCAAATCCTGAAATTCATTAAGCATACAACCATTTGGAACAACACGGTGACATTAAATATTTTATTATGCAGTAATTTTGGTGCTTGTTAAGTTGTTACAGTTCCATCTTGGATAAAGCTTTAGGGAAATGAGGTGCTACAGCACCGGTTCGCCCTGTCAGCTGGAACTAAACTTGCAGAGCTGCTAAATGAACAGAACTTTAAGTCTTCAGGAACAGATGGATTCTACTCACCTGAAGAACTATTGGTGCATTGAGTGGACTTTTGCATTTGCAATCCACATTTGAATCCTTTGTCCCGTGACTCATGGACTTGGATCTTTCCCTGTTTGCACAATTTATTTATATGAATTTCAAGATTTGCATTGAGATTGTTTTGTATGTTTTTTATTGCTGATTATGTAAATAATTTGCAAGCATTACATTTAGTGTCTTATTATTCACATTTCTATCCCGCCCTCCCCGGAGGCTCAGGGCGGCTTACAGGGCATATCGCAAGATAAAACCATAAAACAATACAGAATATTAAGAATATTAAGAATATTAATACAGAATATTAAGAACCCTATTTAAACAGATTTTGATGCTCCTCTCAGCAGAATATCCAATCTCTACAAGTTCTAAAATTTCTAAAAGCAAGATGGCTATCCCTGACCATCCCGTTCTCGCCCATAATGCAGCGGCTAAATGTGCGTGCCCCATCCTGATGTCCATATAGATGGGGGATAGATGGTAACTAGTGCGGTGGTGGTGCACTAGTGGTGGTGGCAGCTCCTATTCGAAAGCCTGGCGGAAGAGCTCCGTCTTGCAGGCCCTGCGGAATTGTGCTAGGTCCCGCAGAGCCCTGATCTCCTCTGGGAGCTCATTCCACCAGATAGGAGCCGCCACCGAGAACGCCCTATTCCTGGTCATGCTGAGTCTAATAGAACGGGGACTGGGACATCCAATAGATGTTGGTTCCCCGACCGTAGTGCCCTTGGGGGAACATGTGGGGCAAGGCGGTCCCTTAGGATTTTGGCCAGTTTGGTGTAGTGGTTAAGTGCGCGGACTCTAATCTGGGAGAACCGGGTTTGATTCCCCACTCCTCCACTTGCACCTGCTGATGTGACCTTGGGTCAGTCACAAGCTCTGGCACAGCTGTCCTTGAAAAAGAGCAGTTTCTGTCAAGAGCTCTCTCAGCCCCACCCACCTCACAGGGTGTCTGTTGTGGGGAGGGGAAGGGAAAGGAGTTTGTAAGCCGCTCTGAGACACCTTTGGGTAGTGAAGGGCAGGGTATAAATCCAATCTCTTCTTCTTCTTCTTAATTATACGGAGGCTTTTCCCTTTTTTTGTATTCTACCATGGAAGCTGGCTGGGTGACCTTGGGCCTATCACAAACTGTCAGCCTGGCCTACCTCACAGGGCTGTTGTGAGAACACGGGGGACAGAAGAACAATGTTCTAAGTGGTTCCGACTTAGGAGAAAAGTGGGTTATAAATAAATGAATGCAACCGTGAATGCATATAAGATAGGTTTGTCTGGCCCAAGTTTACCCAGACAGCTTTGTGTTGAGAAGAACTAAATTCTGCAACCCATATAATGTTTGAATAGGAAGCAATATTCATATAATCTATCTCAGTTTGCATAACACATTCTGCTTCTGCTTGTTATGGAGGGAGAGGAAATACAAACCTGGGACACGGTGGGTAACACTAAACCAGGGGTGTCGAACTCATTTGTTAAGAGGGTCAGATCTGACATAAATGAGACCTCGTTGCGCTGGGCCGTGTGTGTCATAAAATGTAAAGCCAGGTAGCAGAGATATAAACTTTATAAAGGACATAAACACAAAGATTTTTTTTAACTTAACATAAAAACATGCTTAAAACATTAGCTCTGTGAGCTGCAAACCTACTTTTGATTTATCGACATTCACTGCAGAAATCTCATGCTCAGAGTTTTGAGACGAGGACCCAGGGGAAAACATGAAATGGCTGAGTGATCAAGAGAGTCTAGCAAAGTAAGCCATGATGCAGCCGCAGCTGCAGAACTGGAAGCAGAAGATGACCAGTTCCACTGTGGGCCTGAGGGAAGCCCTTCGGGGCCTGATCCGGCCTCTGGGCCACATGTTTGACACCCCTGCACTAACCGATGCAACACCATGTAGAAATGTGTTGTATTCTAAGCAGTGTATAAAGACTTTTTGCTTTACCACTGGAAATAACTGTTCTATTGTCCTCTTCACAAAGAAGACGACAAAAAAGATATTTTTTTGAATATCATACAATTGTTAAGAATTGTGATACCCTGTTGAAGTTATTCTACGTTAAGAGAGAATCTATCATGTTAGTAGAAAGATACTGACATTATTGATGTATGTATCTTTCAATAGGCACAGTCGAGATTGCAATATTACTTGTAAAGCACAGTGTCATCATGGGCATGGATGAGGATGAGCTGACAGAGCCTGCAGAAACCACAGCTGGCCCCTCCAAAGCAGCAGAGGAGGGTAGCTGGCAAGTGCCTGCAACAGCAGTCTTCACACCTGGCCCAGATAAGGAGGAAGCACTGCGAGCTGAAAGTCCTCCTGACTCACCCCCACATGACTCATTTAAGGGAGTGACTGCGGCAAAACTTAGCAACCAGGTGAAGAGAGGCCAGGCTACAGGGGAGACGCTCAGCTAGCCCAGAGTTCTAACAGGAGCCTGGCCGATCGTGCAGCTGGCTAATTCGTAGCAGCATTTAACTCCACTCTCTGGGCAGTACTCTTTGTGGAAGCAATGAGTCAGCTTTGTGCCGCTCGCATCCACTTTGGCTCAGCCCTTGCACCTAGACCTTCGGACCCCCTGGCTTTGGACTTGGCTCTGTGTTCCTGGCTCCTGACCCCGGCTTGGTTTTTTTTGACTTTCCACTGTCTTCTTGGCTCCTGACCTTGGCCTGTTCTGGACTCCATTTGACTGGTATCCCAGCCCGTGACACACAGCATATGGTTATATGTGAGTGTTACCTGTTAGAATGATTTTAGTATAGCACACAACATGTTGTTTTTACATGTTATGGAGGGAGGCCAAGAACCACTGAAGTCCACCTCCATAACGACAGCAAATCTCATCCAGCCACCTCTTTGGGTTGGAGACACCCAAGGTATATTGCCTTTTTACATTCAAGTATAGCACTGCATATCACTAGGGTTGCCATTCCCCCAGTGGGGTCAGGGGATTCCCAATTTCGGGGGGCCCAATCTGCCACCGACCAGCTGGCCAGCAGGGGAAGCCCCAACAGCAGTGTCCCACGGGGATGCTGCTGATGTGATGACGTCACCGGCACTGTTTCCTCTAAGCTGAGTGAGTGTGAGCTAGCTCACAGTTTTTTAGCCTCTGGCTCACACATTTTTGCCTTAGCTCAGGAAGGATGTCTCCAGAGCTAACTAATTTATTCAGCAGCCAAATCGCTTGCTCACAACTTTAATGCCAGCAGCTCACAAAGCAGAACTTTTGCTCACGAGACTCCACGGCTTAGAGGGAGTATTGGTCACCGGTAGTGATGTCATCATGCTGGGGGTGTCACACAGTGACGCTCTAGCATTCGGGGGGGGGGGGTGCTCTATGGTTACGATAGAGTTTTCACCCTGAACGCTAGAGCGTCGCTGCAGAGGCCTCCTGAAAAGGAGCCAGGAGCTCCCTGCTGCAGCAAAGGTGAGACCTGGCAACTCTACATATCACGGGTAAGCTCTGA